CTTGGGCTGATGCGAGGCAGCCTTACGATTTTTTGTAGACCTCAGGCTTAGCGGTTGCTCTTTGTCGTTTTTTTTTTAAATGAATTTCAAATAACGCAGCAAGAATCGCTCGCCCGGCAATTGGAAAAAAAACCCCACAACTGATACGGGTTTGGTTTTGCTGCGTGGAGAAAGCCCAGTGCTCCTCCCAGCCGCTTATTTGCCGGCAGCAGAAGGGTTTTACAACCTTTCTGAGGAGGTGATACGACCCAAATGACCCCAAATTAGCTCAGGCAGGAATCCAGCCGGGTACTTTTCTGTGAAATCCTCATTAGCGTGTTGCTCTGAACCGTAAGATGGCCGAGGGATTCGTTTCTGAGAATACTTGAAGGTTTTTTTCTCAACAAGCTGCAGCTGCAGATCTATATCTGACTAAAGGGATAAATCCTAAAATCTATGCTTGCCAGTAAGGTCAAGGCAGCCGGCGGAGATGTATCGAACCACGCTGTCAGAGGTAGACGTTTCAGGCCAAACTCATTCCTGGTGCAGCGCTGCTAATTCCTTTGAAGTAACACGAGGGATGAATTTAGTCCCTTGTGCTGAAAGATATATCAATAGGAAGCAATTTAGATTGGGCCACTTAAAGTGCATGTAATACAAAAAAGAGAGAGAGAGAGACACTGAGGAGTAATGCTTCAAGGGTTCGCAGAGGTTGATTTGTGTAAGCTAGTGAGGTTGTAGCATTGCTGTCCCAAGGGAAAGTTGGGGGAATGGGAAATTGCCTTTTATAGCTGAGCCTCAGGTTAACAGGAGAGGGAGGAAAGTAGTTTTAGGATTGCTGTGTAAACTGGCAGCGTTACAGGCTGCCCTTCCAAGTTACACTTTGGTTGCACAATGGCACCTACTCACCTCTTCCCTGATTATCCAGAGACATACCCAGCTCCAGAGTTTACATTTCCCTCACCTATTTTCTCTTTTTCACACAATGCACCCAATAATGGTGTTGTCTGACTTCTGCCATCCCCCTTGGGATTGGGGAGGTGCAGAGAAGCTGTAATTCCGTTGTAAAACCTCGCTGCTTTGTTCTCTAAAAACCTGAGAATCTGAGGGAACTTCTTACTGAGAGGGTCCTGCCCTTTGGCTCAGCCTGGGTCCTGATAAGCTTCTGTGGAAGCTGCAGGGAAATGGCATTATCCTCTGCAGCTGTTAATGATCCTCACTGAATATTTGTGGAGCCACAGTGATAAACCGCTAATTCTGTCAGAAAGCCAGCCAATGTGAACTGGCAAATGAATATTTTATTATTTTATAATGGGTGGGAGGCATGTGAATGGAAGGCCGGGTCATTCAGCGATTGGGGATCTCATGGTGTGTCTCTCCTTGGCGTTCCAGAAGAGCTGCTGGAGAGCTGCCCTGCCGTAGCCGCTGACGCTATGGAAGACCGCATCCGCTGGCCTAGGCTGTAGGATGGTAGCGCACAGCAAGGTGTCAGCAGATAATGCAGTTGCAGCAGACCCGAGATGTCTTCTTGACCCTCCGGCACGGGAACGATCGCAGGCTCGAGGCTACCACGGCCCCGGCCGGCCCGGCACCGCGCGGGCACCGAGCAACACGCACTTCCGAACGTTCCGCTCGCAGGCGGATTTCAGCAGCATCACCCGAGCGAGCAGCTTGCTGGATGCCTGCGGCTTCTACTGGGGGCCACTGACTGTCAGTGCCGCCCACGAGAAGCTGAAGTCTGAGCCCGAGGGCACCTTCCTCATCAGGGACAGCACGCAGAAGAATTGCTTCTTTGCCATCAGTGTTAAGACCGCGACGGGGCCCACCAGCATCCGGATAAACTTTCAGACTGGGCGTTTCAGCCTGGATGGCAGCAAGGAGACTTTTGACTGTCTTTTCAAGCTGCTGGAACATTACGTGAGCTCGCCGAGGAAGGTCCTGGTTACCCCCCTGCGCAAAGTCCGTGTGCAGCCTCTGCAGGAGCTCTGCCGGAGGAGCATCGTGAAGACTTTTGGAAGGGAGAATTTAGGCCAGATCCCTCTCAATCCCGTTTTAAAGGACTATCTGAAATCCTTCCCGTTTCAGATATAAAAGTACAGCATTAACTGTGGAGGGATGTGCGAGGGATGTGCGAAGAAATCCAGCTTCCTGGGTTTTTAAACGTGTTTGACAGTGAGCAAACTTATTTTTGTAGCGATTTACTGTATTTTGGGATGGAACTTGAACACTTGACTTCTTATGTTTACAAAAACTGTTTGCACAAGCCTGGGGTTTTAAAACCCTGGCGTAATTTTTCTGCCAAGCAGAATATTTTATTATTTTATAATATTTTTAATGATATTATGTTAATAAATTTTATTGTGAAAGTTTTTTACAAGAAAAGCATCTCTGGTTTTAGTTTTAAAGGCTCTGGTACCGATCCTGCTGACAAACAGTGTAAGTGCACACAGGTGTCCGTGTGATCCTGCTCCTTAAGGGCCCTGCTCGACTGGAGTGTTCTAGTGCTAGTCCAGCAGAGGATTTTTACCCCCAAAGCCTAAAATAGCAAGATGCAAGCAAAGAGAAAATGTGCTTGGGATGAATCTGCCCAGGGTTCTAGCTCTTTTCTAAGTCCAGGAGAGCAGGAACAGTGTCTTAAGGCTACAGTTTGGAAAAAGTGAATCAAACCTTTGGCTGAGCTAATTGCACCCCCTCTAGATTGCCTTTTTTCTGTTAAAAGCTCCAAGGCTCTAAGCCAGAAGAGGTTGCTGTCTGGCATAACTAAACCACGTGAACATCGGTGGGAAAAAATAAAACTGTCCAGAAACGCTGTTCACGTGCTTTGAAAGGCTGCAAATACTGCATCACTGTGATGCCTCGAGGGGAAGGATAGCGTAGTTCTCTCTTTAGATTGCCATATGCAAAATAGCAAAGGTGCAGACATCTTCAGCCTTCAAAAAGGTGTTTCTTGTCTGAAATTCCCCCTGCACAGATACTTTTAAAGATTCTATGACTTAGCCTGTGACAGGATCCAGAGAGCATAAACGTGAAGTTTTGCAGCTCTAGTTTTTAGCAGCTAAACTACATTCAGAAAATGCAGACTGTTTGGTAATACCTTTTACAGGAAATTGGTGAAGGCAGTGCTGGGTTTCTGTCTGCTTATAAACTGCAGAATCGGTGCCCCATAGAACTTTGACTGTGACTGGAGAGCCCTGATTTGGCAAAATGTCACCTGCATTATGAGAAAATGATTCTCCCCTCCCTCAAGTATTTCCTGAAATCCATGAAAAGCTGACTTAGAAAACCAGCTGAACCAAATCGCTTCAAAGAAGGCAGTCTTTCACAGAAATGTACTTTATCAGCACAGATCTAAGGTGCTTACAGGAACTGTAAGCAGTAAATGAAGTCATCTTGAGAGCATGGAAGACAAAAGGTCTCTCCCTCAATGGGAGAGCTAAAACCACTTTTAGGAAACATTGAGTACGTGTTACACAGCCTTCCTCACTGAATAATTTGTTTAATATCATTTACTCTACCAAATTGGCTCTTACATTGTTGATGCTTCTTCGGAATAATTAGGTTTCCTCCTCAAGCCTGACTAAGGATTGCTTACTGGACATTGTGAAAAAAGAACACACGGGTGGTGACCCTTACTGTGCTGCTTCCCTGAAACGTTCTTTGGATCTGTGCTGCCGAGCAGTCTCGATCCATCCCCTCGTCAGCCACCCCTGGCTGAGGTTAGCAGAGCATTTCTGCCTAATTCTAAAGCTGGAATGAGTTGCCACATGATGCGTTTTCCCACAGCAGCTGCGAGGGTATAAACTGGGGAAGTGGTGAGTGCTGGGCTGTACCAGAGCGAAGGGACTGCCTGAATGTGTGGAGCTTTAATCAGTTAAATTGTGGAGAAAAATAAATAAATAAGGTCTTTGTAGGGTGAATGCTGCCAAACTGGTTTGCTGTCAGCAGAGATTGTTATCCCTTTCCCAGTCCTCTTTTCCCAGCCTCGCGCTGCAGTACCTTTTAACCCTTCAGGCCCCAAACTGATGACCCTTGCCTTGCTACAGAACTGGGGTAGAACAAGCACAAGGTAGCTTAGGAACTTCTCCACTGCCCCTGATAGAAATAAGCAAAACTAGACCTAGATATATGGCGAGGGGCTTCATACTGAAAGGCATGGAATGAAAGGCATGAGGATTTGAGCACGTTTCATTTTCATCCTGGCATTTTCTCCCTCCCTTTTATTGTTTTAGAGTAAGTTTAGCAGAGATGATCCATATGCTCCCATGTGAAGTGCCTAAATCCCTTCGTTTTTGTCTCTAATATGAAATGCAAACCTGGGATAGCTCAGAAAAAATATAATCAAGGCTATAAATAAGGACAAGAGGGTCACAATTGTACAAAAGGTTGCTTAAAGGAAGAGAAGACAAAGCTGGCTTGTATTTTTAAACTGTCTGATCTTGCACCTGCTTTTCCCCTTTTCCCTTTTCCTTTCTTCCCTTTCCCTCTTTCCCCAGCACACCATGCAGTGGCCAGGCAGATGTAGGTTGCTCTAAGAAACCTGAACCACAGCATGTGTGTTCACAGCATCACTCTAAGGGCTGATGAAGGGCTCTCTAAAACATCTGCCTACCTGTGTGCACTGATTTAAGGATTTTGTCACATCTCAGAAGTGTAGCAGGAGTCTCGTGAAGATTTCTGTGGTAATTCCAGCTGTCGGATCTCTTATCCTCTGCTTGTGATGTGCCAGCAACGTCAGATAGGGGATTTGAGGTACACTGCACCTAAAGCAATGGAAACCCCTAAGAGTGCAGCGATTTTAATGCTCCCTGCTAAATAGCACTCAAAGACTGGTGTTTCCAGCCCCCCCTCTTCTCTTGCCCAGCTCCTTCCTCTGACCTTTTCACTCCTGGCTGTGGCTGAAAAGTGAAGTAAACAGTCAGTCTGGTAAAGGACTGTGGAGGAATTCGAGGCATGCTCAGGAGCAGAGCAAAGCTACAGTTTCTGAAGAGACTGCAGGATTTACAGTTAGTGGGGAAGGGAGAGCTTTAAAATAACACCATTTGCAGCATATTTGCAGCACGAGCATGCCACCCTGGAGGACCCTGGGTGTCTCTGTCCCACAGACAGCAGCAGGGTGGGAACGATGTGGCAGGGTCCTGCTGGGACACCCCCCTAGCCCTGCACCGCTGCAATGCTCCTGTGACTGCACGGGCAGCAAGACAGAGGCTTCCTTGTTTTTTAAAGGTTGAAACACACATTTGCTTTCAGCGTAGGTTGATTTACATACCGTGCTGCAGCTGTGAAACACTTGGTAAGGAATAGGTGTTTAGAGAACCTGGTTTATTTAGTCACGAAGAATTACCGAATGCTCAGTCGGAACCTCTTGAATGACAGACATAAGCTCAGCCGCTGTGAAGCTGTGGTCACGCTAATTCTGTTATGATTGAAGTCATTTACAAGAAGTGAGGCTTCAGCTGCAGTCAGCACTGATGCTATTTTCAACAGTCAAGAAAAAAGTGTCCCCTAGGGCAACACACTGATGGTATCTAGCCATCAATACTCTTCACCCAGCTTGTACTTAATCCTCTATTGAACCGTGTATCCACCTCCTGAACCTTCTCCTTCAGATCCCCTTCTGTGCTGGGCCTCACTCAGCTCCTGGCTCACCTTCCATCCTCCATTCGTGGTGCTGACAGCTGCGTGTGCGATGCATTTACTCGATAATTCCAGCTTTGAGACAGAAGGCTGGGTAACAGGAGCTTCATTTGGACTCTACCTTGCTCTCGGGGCATCACAGTGTAAGGTAACGACAGCACATGCAGGAGGTTTCCAGGAAGCACTGTTCAAGACTTTTCGTTGCCACTGACCCATCTGTTGTCATACACAGCACTCAGGTCCTGTCACTGTGTCACACGTTGTCCTCCACGGCTGTTTCGTAACACGGCAGCCAAATTTCATTTGCCACCCCGAGGTCCCATTTGCTCTTTGTGTCACCATGGCATAACAGAAACACGGGGCAGTAGGGAGCGGAAAGAAAAGCCCAACTTCTCCGATTTGTCCCAACATGTGCCCGGTGGCAAAGCAGCAAAGGCCAAAGAGTCAGAATATGAGCTCCTGCCTGGCAGGTGGGTGAGTACCACCCCTCCATCTGGACCTCAGCGACACGCTGTGGATGTGGTTGTTGAAGTCAAGATTGACAGAGATGATGCATGTGCATGGCAAAACAGCTACCCTATGGTCTTCTGCTATAAGAAGAGCAGATACTGTGAGGAAGAAGAGCAGATACTGTGAGGATGCACTGGCAGCCCAGCAGAATACAGCCGATAACTATCTGTGCCACAAGCCACAATTGCTCAGCTTGCTTCATTCTGCTCCTCTTAACAGTATTAGCACTGCCAAGTAGGGTCACCTTCCTGTTGTCATTTTGATCTCAGTTATAGGTGGATTTTTTTCTGTAGCTTCCAGCCGTGTAGAAGAATGATAAATCCAGTCAGACCTCTGTAAAGAGTTCAGTCTCCTCCCATGAGTTGCTCCTGCCTGGCCTGCTTCTACTTGTGAGCACAAGGATTCATCTTCACTAGCAGAGAGTTTGTGGTTTGGTTTTTGTTTTGTTTTCTGCTGCTAAGGGAATTAAAGGAACTGTGAAAAACTGCTCATTCTTTTGCTGAAGATCCACTGGCCACTGTGCTGTGCTTGTAGGTGTGCACCATCCCTTCAGACATGGCTGTGGAAATAAGTTTCTGACTGAGTGGTAGAAAAAGAGAAGTAGCATTTTTTTAAAAAACTCAGGGGCTTCTTACACACTTATCTATTGCCAAACACTTATCACTCTTCCATGGAAATACTCACTGAAGGCCTCTTTCTTCCGAAGGTAATTAATTCATTTTCAGTTCTCTTTTTGTTACGGGAAAGGGTTATTTGGTTTAATATTAACAGTACCCTTGTTTACATGCGATTCTGAATCCTACAGCCTGTAGTTGCCTCTACTGAATACAGCGGGCTAAAACATGCTCAGGCTGAGATATTCCACAGGCAGAGTGGTGCTGGGATGCCTGACAGGACACCCTGACCCAGACATCTGTGCACTCACTATTGCCTGTGCTCAGGATGTATTGGCGGTGGCGTTAGATTAATGCACCTTGTGGCTCAGACCTAGTGATCATGAGTGGGGCATTAGTTCCACACAATCCCTTGACTTATGTTTTTCAGCGCCTTTGCAAGCCACGGAGATTGGAAGGCTGTAATAGACCAATTAGAAGATACCATTAATCTAGTTTGATTTTCTGTATATAAGGAAAAGGCTTCAGAAGTTTGACCAGAAATTTTCTGCAGTGCAAAGTTAGTCCTGCGAAGCACGCGGTTATGCCTGGTGCATAAGCAAACATTA